TTTTCTCACCAATTCACTTCACAACATCTATACTTTCATTGCATTCAAATATCATCATTTTTTCATAGCTTTCTAGAGCCATTTTTGTGTGAAGGTTGAGTTGTTCTTGAGCGTACTTAGTTTACTCATAATCTACTCTATAAGAGAGTTTCGTTCTTGAGTGTACTTGTGTTCTTAGACACATTGAGAGATAGTACCTCTCTCGGTTGATTCAAAGGAAGGATTGTTTCCTTTGAAGGATTCGTTGAGGTTCGTGTAACTCGAACTCTCAAGTTGTAACGGTTTGTTAAGCACCCGCAAGCTTAACGAGATAGTAGTGTAGCTCGAGAGAGTCTCTCGGGAGGCTGGATTAGCCACAAGTTATGGTGAACCAGGGTAAAATTCGGTGTGCCTTTTTCTCTTCCCTTTACTTCCATTTTAATTTTTTAATTCCTGCGATTTCTCCGATCAAACGCTATTCACCCCCCTCTAGCGTTGGTCTATTATTCTAACAATGTCTACCAAACCCATTCACCCTTTGTTGAAAATCAATCCAACAAGTGAATGCTGGAGAGTGTTAGTTCGTGTGGTTCGATTGTATAAGATGCCAGATTACAATGATGACAAAGTCACTAATTCGATTGAGATGATATTTATGGACGAACATGTAAGAATCATATTCTTATACGAATTTTGCATACAGTATAATAATTTGGCATACATTGCTGCATCCATTATACGAATTTGGCATACATTACTGCGTCCATGTTGACAAAAGAAGCCCGAACTTGGCTCTGTTTTCAGCTCTTCAACGGAAAAAACAGTATTTTTAACCAAATTGCATAAGTAGTATAGCATAGTGTACTTCATTTTTATTTATAAAATTAAATTTTGCTTTTATGGGAAGGATACTCATAATTTTAATTAGTGCAGTATTGGTTTGATCCAATTCATCTACCATTTATAAAAGATTATTTTTTTCATTCTACTTAAATGTTTCTTCCACATAAAATAATGTCTGTTTCTTTGCCATCAATTTGTATAAAAAAAGAGAATCACATTTGTGTTGACGGTATTGATATAGTGAATGATAATCACTGCAAATAGACTGAGAGTGAAATGTTCAGTGAGATCGTTAAATCAAACAAATTGTTTTCTCCCCTTGAAAACCTGAGAATTCGGAATAAGGTTAAAGTATTTGTAAAACAGACCCAAAATTTTTGGTTAAACATTGGTTAAACAGACTTTATAGTTTTGGTTAAACATTGGTTAAACAGAATAGTACATGTTTGGTTAATCAGACCCAACATATTGGTTAAACAGACCCTATAGAATATGTTGTCCATAGTCAGTGCATATTCTGTCCCCCCCATATTCTGCTGCATATTTTCAGATTTATATTCTCTTATATTTTTTTATTGGCGTTGAGTTTGGATTCTTAAAGTCTGATGAAATTTCTCCAATCCCTAGGTATTGGACGGTTCTCCAGTGCTTAAAAAAATCAGACAAAACAACTTTTCATATTGCCAAAAAAGTCCGTTGAGTTTATATTTTTGCTTATTATAGTGCCTATTCATGTTGAATCTTCTCAAGTGCTTAAAAAAATCAGACAAAAAAACTTTTTATATTACCTAAAAACTTTTCAAAGTCTCTACAGATTTGTTTTTGTAGTTTCAAATCACATTTGAATAGGCCAGATAGTGTTGATACCTGTTGAAGTGTCTTTAGTCCCAAAGTATTGCAGTCTCTCATGTCCCTATGAGTATTAAAGTTTCCTTGACATTTTGCAGGAAACTACTATCCATGCCAGTGTAAGAAAAAGTTTGGTGGGAGCTTTTGAGAATAAAATAAAGGAAGGATCGGTATATGTCTTTGCTTATTTTGGCGTTGGCAATAGCAGTGGATATTATCGCACTACAAGACATGAGTTTCGCCTAAATTTTCAAGCAAGGACCACCGTCACAGAAATCAGTTGTGACAACATACCAGTTTATGGAATTAAGTTGGTTGCATTCCGTGATATATTGCACGCAGATTCGAACTATCCGTATTTAGTTGGTAATGCTCCTTACTTGAGCCTTAAAAGTTTTTTTAATTTGAATTACATACCCGTTAAAGAGGTGGATTAGATGGAATATGTTTCTCTTCGTTCTTCTCAATATCATCAAATGTAACGTCTGTGATACCCTTAAGAAAGCCGACAACCCTTCCTTTCCCTCTATCACTCCCTCAGTTTTTCTTGTTTCTACTAACACTAATGCAACCTCCGGCTTCCCATATTACAAGTTATTTTTAGTTTCGTAAAAAGTGGTTGTTTTTTAATGAACTAACATGTAATGCTAACTTTTGAACTTTGGTATACCAGACAAAGGTTGGATGTTACTTTATTTGGTGAATATGTTGACGTGCTTAAAAGCTTCTTTCAAAAAGCGCCGTTGGAACATGCGGTGATTGTCATTCAGTATGCTAAGGTCAAGATGTTTCAAGGTATTAATATCTTGAATACTATTGTAAGTGTTCTTTTATTTCCGTTTAAAATGTTGTTAATCGATTTTATTTCTTTACATGTCATTATATATTACACTACTATTTTCTTATATTCAATTTTCATGCTTTTAGGAAATTATATTCTACAAAATGTAATGTATGGTACACGCCTTCTGTTGAATCCGGAAATAGACATCGTTACTGCTTTCAGACAGAGGTCAGTTCATCTCATATTTAATCTGTTTTACTGGCTAATTTTGAATTGGATACAAGTAAGAGTAGATTTGATGCATGCAAACTAATAGAATAGTTACCATCATGCAGGACTCTTGGAAGTTCTTCTTATCATGTGATAACATTACGAGTTCAGACCAAAATGACTTCCTCGATACGAGCAAAACAAGGGTGATTGCTAACCTGAAGGAGTGTAATGAGGTACATTTGATATTTTTTAGCATTCAATCCGAGACTTTTAATTATTGGTTTGCTTTTTGGATTCAATATATTAACATATGCACTATTAATTGAGAAATAACATGAGACCTAATATATGAATTTCTCTAAAAAGGATGGATCGTATGTGGTGTACGGGACTATCGTTGCGGTAAACAATTAGAGCGATTGGTGGTATTTAGCATGTAAGTGTAACAGAGCTGTTAAACCCGATGGTGCAATGTACTACTGTGCGTACTGCTCAAGTCGTGTTTTCAATGTCACCCCGAGGTATAACTTTTTTTTTAATTAATGATTTTCTTTTAGTTGTTAAATATGTGCATGGAAGGAGATTACTTAAAAACTCTTTGAATTTTTAAAACTATTCTCTGCTTCAGATATCTTATCAAGCTGTCTGTTAAAGATGATTCTGGAACAACCACATTTGTTTTATTTGACCGTGAGGCGTCCAATATTTTGAATATATCCTGTGCAGAATTGATGGAAAAAAGTGATTTGGTATGTACTCTTGCTTCAAAATGCTTGGCTTATTAATTTTTATTAGATCATACACAGTTTTAGTTTTATTGTTTTTTCACATACTAACAAAATGTTGCTTTTATGTATGAAAGTAGCATGTTCTTTCTATAGGCAGTTTACTAATAACACACATGAAGTTAATATCTAACAATTTTGATCATAATGTATAAAGCACACACGGATTGTCCACATGAAAAAAGGTTAAATTCCTACTAAAAATGGTGATTAAATTTATGAAATAAATGTAAAACATTCATAATTTTTATGATAGTTAAAAACAAATGTATAATACTTCAATTTACTTTATTTTGAAGACAATGTTTGTCTTATTTGTAAACTAATGTAACGGATAAATTTCTCGCAGGCTGGAAGTTTTGAAAATCCAAAAGAGTTTGATGACCTCTTGCTTGGGAAGACGTATATTTTCAAAGTTGAGGTAAGGGTCATGAACCACGGCCAACATGAACACTCTTTTAGAGTGTCAAAAGTATGTCACGATGATACCATCAAGAAAAAATACCTGGAATCTATTCATGCAAAAAATTCAAAAGCTGCAGTGAATCGCGCTATACCAGTGTACTCCGTTGAGGAGGAGGTTTTAAACAGAACGCTTGCTAAAACAATAGAGTCTTTGAAGGATTGCACGGAGGTTAGTTATACCATTTTAATACACAATTCTTGAAGACATTTCCAAGACATTGTATTTAATAATTTACCTATTTTGGCACTAGGATGGAGAGTATGCAGTCTATGGTACCATCAAAGGTGTGGATGGTGAAGCTGATTGGTTCATACCAACGTGTAGGTGTGGATCGTAAGTGATTCCATGGAATGGCTTTTACTACTGCAGCGACTGTAAAAAATGTGTTGTGAACGTGATTCTAAGGTAATATTACTCTTAAAATTCTACCAAGATTTCAGCTTTTAGCCTGCCTACCAATTTCCTAAACATTTGAAAAGCCTTCTTGATTTAGAAGTACTTTGATCACACTTTGTTTCATTTTCTGTCATTCCTTAATACAAGATCGCAAAACATATAATAAGGTTGATGACACTTTTTAATCATAGTATATGATCAACAAACATATAATAACGTTTTGAATTTCGAGATTTAAATATTTTTTATTAGAGTATGCAAGTTTTTACACTACTTATTTACAAATATATAGTCTGATTTTCAACTTATTATTATGTTTTTTATAGTCTGATTGATGATGTTTCTCCGGTACGTGAGTATTAAAAAAACTGATTTTTACTTTTTATCCTGCATATTATGATGTGACTTTTCACACGGATTGCATTGTTACAAAGTATTTTAATTTTTCAATTACTAAATGAGTCAGTCTCAGCGTTATTTGGTTCAGATACTGTTTTCTCTCACATGTGGGTCAATTACTATTTATTTTTTCATACAAGAATATAAGCAGAGAGAGAAATGGATGATAATGTAATCCACAGTGTCTAGCTTCTTTGAGTTGTATTTTTCAGAAAAATACTAAGTACTTGATTTTAGTTTGGTGTTGGTATAACAATGTCACCTTAAAAACTAATCACACTAAGACGTTTTGTGTAAGACAACCAAAAACAGTATCTGCAGTGCTTATCTACATACTTTTTGCGATTCGAATTTTAACAAATTATAAAAACATATGATAACACCTAATGGTAAATATTAATATAATGAATATATGCAGGTATCGAATTAAGGCAAGAGTGAACGATGCATCAGATAGTGCGACTTTTGTGATATTTGAGAGCCTTGGATGTTTGTTGTTGCACAAGTCCTGCTCCGAGATGCTGAAATTAAGTGAGGTATGTATAAAAAAACTTATTACATTAATGCAGTTTGTATAAAGACCTTAAGAGAGGTATGTGAGATGTGAATTTCTTTGACACTTATTGACAAAATGAATGGCTGCCCTGAGTAATGTTCCTATTTGTGTATGAAGGGCGTGCCGGTAGGATGTGAACAACCAGATGTGTTCAAACAAATGCTACTTGAAAAGTCATTTATCTTCAAGGTTGAAGTCAAGACTGCAAATATCAATGATTTTGAACCTTCCTACAATATGAATGACATGTGCTTTAATGACCGGATCATTGCAAAATTTATGGAGATGCACTCTTCGTTTTTCTCTCCTCAGGTTTGGAATTAAAACAATAACTTCAAGCTCATTCTCTACCACTTTTTGAATGATGGAATATTTATGTTTGGTAATGTATTTATGTTTTCTTTATACCAGACAGATAAGACTATCGGGTATTCAACTGATGGGAAAACAAACACAAAAGTCATTTCAGTTGGCAATGCATCGTCTTGCGTAAAGGTATATATTGAAATCCAAGACATAAAATAAGATTAATGTTTAAATATTTTTTATTCATTAAATTTCAGGTGCAACCTTAAAATCAATATTTTCTCATCTTTTATTTTATAAATTCAATTGTGATAAATTGAATTTCCAACTATTTATAGTGTATAACCCATTGATTTTCTCCTTGCAGAATTTAATTGTGAACTTTGTGGAATCTCAAGATAGTCATATGACACAACCTAGAGATGATGTGATCAATCTTACTCCCATGAAAAGAAAGAAAGAGGAATTGGATCACGTTGGAGATGGAGATGACTCCGTCAACAAGATGAGGAGTGTTAAGATTGAAAAAATTAATCATTATTGTTATTTCTTCATTGGAGTATTCTAAGTTATTTGTTGGATTTCATTACTATATACTTTAAGTTTTATTTTAATATTTGCATGAATAATGTTGTTGGTTTTGAACAATGAATTTTATTACACCTACAATAAATCATCTTTTCCTAAGTGTTGTCATACGTTATTATGTCTAAATTTATTGTGAACTAAGTGTTGTGTAATGCGTCTGATTCTTATAACATTCTAAAACAATATCAAAGAATTCAATTGTTAATGATGACTCAATTTAAATATTTTTTCATTTGATGAAACTTTGTGTCTTGAGATATAATCTAATAACTATTTACAAAATTGGGCATAATTTAAAGGTAATAAATTTATAATTCTAACAAATAAATTAAAGTTAGAAGTATTCAAAATATTCTAAGAGATATGTTTTCTAGGTTATTTATTCTTAATTTCTAAACGATGCTTTTTTTCCTATTCATTTATTCGTTTCACAATAACATACTACCTCCGTCCCAATTTAAATTGTCCATTTTGAGTTTTGGGCATATTTAAGGAAAATAAAAAATAGCGTTGATTTTTCGAAATTGACATTACTTTTTAATAGAGGTGATGATGAATGAGAATATAAGGTGAAAAAAAGTGACTTATTTAAAGGATAGTTTAGATATTTTATTTTTAAAATTTTACAAAACAACTAACAGACAATTTATTTTGGGATGGAAAAAATAGACAAACAGGCAATTTAAAATAGGACGGAGGAAGTAGTATTTAAGAGACAAATCAATGAAAAAGATATTTTTTTCATGAACACAAATCAAAATACAAACTTTGTATTTTTATGAAACATCAATCTATTAAACAAGCATTTTTGAAAAATATGTGTTCTTGCCTGTACATTCCAAATAAATGTGTTTTGAGAGGCATTTTTTTAATGTGTTAAATAATTTTAATGCTATAACAATGATTAATATTTTTTTTATTTAGATAGTATGTTTTCAATGTCATTTTTCCTTTCGTTTAAGAAAATGCTTTATTGAAACTTATTCATTTCACACTAACACGTATTTTAAAAAGGAGTCAATGTAGAAGATATTTTTTTATCTAAAACACATGCCAAAACATAGGCTTTGGATTTTTGCGTGTTAAATAATTTCTACAAGAATAACGATTTATAGTTGATTTCCAATTTTACCCCTGATGTGATGGGTAAAAGTAAGATGTGATGGATAGATTATTAGAGAAAAAGTATGATGTGATAGGTTGGGTATGAAAAAGTAAGGGTAAAAGTGGTTTTTTAATAGAAAGGGGAAGTGTTTTGTTGGAAGTGGAAAAAATAAAAGAGAAGTGTTTTTGAGAATGGAGGGAGTACTAATTCTATAGATGCAATTACTGTTAAATAACAATCTAAATTACTCCGTAGTATTTGTTATTTTATTAAATTATTCATACCCGTGCAAAACTAATTGCAAGGAATTAAAAATTGAAAAAAAACTATTATAAATAAAAATAACATTTTTATTTTAATTCCTTATACATGTAAGTTAAAGGGAGAAAAATAAATAATACTCCCTTCGTCCTAATTCTTTCTTCACAAACAGACTTTTTCCCATTTTTTATTTTTTGCTTTGACTTCAAATTTTTCCCCCCTTAAAAAAATTTGAATTTTTTTTCAATCATTCAAAATATAAAGTTAGAAGATAATTGGTGTAAATACATGAAAGTATTAATGTCATTTGTCATCTTTTTTTCTAATGGAAGGTAGTTTTAGGACGGAGAAAAAGGGGGAGTGGAAAGAACGTTTTATGACAGAGGGAGTACATGTTAAACAATGAAGTTTTTAATACATAACATGTGGCTTATTTATATTACAATGAAAAAAAAGCGATGAAAGATTTTCATGCACACCTAAAAGTTTAACAGCTTTGTCATTGATATTCTTTTTCTAATACTTATACATTCTTGCGAAAATAATATAAAAATCATACATGAAACTTTTTTGAAAGAAAAAAAATAAATCATATCATAATACTATTTTATTTACATTAATATGGAATAATATAAGTTTAATTTTTAAAAATCTTTTTGAAATTAGAATGTATACTTTGCCATAGTGTCTGTTTCACTTTGCCAGAAATAAGAAAACCATTAAAATTATATAAAAAATAAAAAAATATATGCTTGAAATTTATTTTTAAGATAAAATACACAAATTCTGATCCCCTAAAAAAGGGAAAATGGAAAAACTTAAAGATCGATTTAAAAGTCTTTTAATATACGTATGTATGTATATATGTACATATAAAAAGATACTAAACTATTTCAATAAATAGTTTAAAAAACTAATAATATTTTCACGTTAATGATATTTTCAAGATATTCATACAGAATTCTATTACTCCATAATCTTTCTTGCTTTCCATATATATTTGTGGAGACTATTCATGATTTACTTTTAATATATACAATAAATCAGTAGAGTATTGTTAGATAAACATAACAATAAATCATCATTTATTTCATAAATCATAATAATAATAATAATAATAATAATAATAATAATAATAATAATATGGATATTATTATTATTATTGTTGTTGTTGTTGTTGTTAATATTATCCAACGTAATTTAGGAACCAAATTTTAATCAAGAGTTTTTAATTCTTTTTATAGACAGATTTTTTTGGGGGGTTTTTTTTTGCATTCTACTCCCTCCGTCCACGAGTATTAGTCCAGTTTTTACTTTTTTAGAAAAAATTGATAAACTTTATCTCAGAGGTAGTAAAAAAATAAAATAAAAATTGATAAAAAAATAATATTTTTAGATTTATTATATCAAGAATTTCCAAAATATTACTTTTTCTTAGTAATATAAAACAGATATTTTATTTAATTAGAGGTCAAATGTTAAAAAATTGATATAAAAAAAAGTTAAAACTTAACGAATACTCAAGGACGAAGGTAGTAATACACTTAAATAGGCATTATGTACCAAAGATTTTATTTTCATTAACCTATCATATATAAAACTTAGGAATTATATACATAAAACATTCGTAAAAGAAGCATTAAAAAGTATTTACTTTTCCATAAAGCAAATATTAGTTCAATATTTTCTTTCTATGCTTGATTACATTCACAGATGGAGAAGCATCGTCGTCGGCCATAGGCTCGCATAATCGAAGCCGTTCAAGAAAGAATGTACTTAGTGATGTGACAAATGGTAATTTTTTTATTATAATTAAGATCTTAATATTTTCAGTACATTTTCCCTAAAAAAAGGATCTATACAGTGCTTCAATCAGAGAATAATTCTACACCCACTTCATCACGCTTTCAAGTGTATAAGAGACAGAAGAGAATTGATCTATCTGCAATAACACGTTCTATTACTTTCGAAGAAGGTAATCATTCAAAAACTTTCTTTGTGTATTAGATAACTATAGGTATATAGTGCTATTAAAAATATATTTAAATATTAACTACCTCCATATGGGGGATCATACACTACATTTGTATTTTAAATACACAAAAATATAGGTGTTGAAGGTTCATCTACTCAATATACATCAGCAGAACCGTTTTTAGATAATCTTGCATTTGGAGAAACTGAAATTAAAGGTATGTTTACATAATATGTACGACATTTAATTTGTGTAAAATGCTAAATCTTTATAAACAACTTTCTATATCATATTTTATTATTCCTGTGTAGATATAATTGATTTTGGAGATCCCACATTTAAATGTGAATTCTGTGGAGCATTGTTATGGTATGGAGAAAGAGCTGAAAAAAGTAGAGAATCAGAAAATCCCGACTTTTCGATTTGTTGTATGAAAGGAAAAGTTGAACTGCCTCTGCTAAAGAAACCTCCAGATTTGCTCTATAATTTATTTAATGGGAGTGACGTTAGGAGTTCCCATTTTTTGAACAATTTAAGAAAGTACAACAGTATGTTTTCATTCACGTACATGGATGGAAATATTGATACATCTAAGAACAATGGTCGAGCAGCTCCACAGTTTACTCTTAGTGGTCAAAATCATCATCACATAACATCATTGTTGCCACAAGATGGTGGAAGGCCAAGATTTACTCAATTGTATATTTATGATACACAGAACGAGGTATCAAATAGAATGGCTCATTTCAGGTATTTCAAATATTTTAGTATGTGCGGCCCTTTAATGCATGTACTCTTTATTTGTGCATGACAAAATATTGTCATGGAACATAATTATCATAATAACATAATTTTTTTCATGCAGTAGGCGGAATAATTCTTTGGCTATTGATATAACTTTAGTCGAGGATTTGAAAAATATGATAGATGAACATAATGTTTTGGCACAGAGTTTCAGAAGAGCTAGAGATTTCGTGCATAGAGAGCCCACATCTACTTTGTCTATGAGGCTTCTGAGAAGTAGATCTAAAGACTCGAGAAATTATAATATCCCCACAGCGGACGAAGTTGCAGCTCTAATAGTTGGAGATTTTGATTCATCTAATGAAGAAAGGGACATCATCGTCGTAAAAAGAAATGGATTCTTGCAACAAATCCATGAGACACACTCCGCATTCATACCTCTTCAGTACCCTTTGTTGTTTCCTTTTGGGGAAGACGGATATCATGAAAATATCCGTATAAGAGAATCATTTTTCC